CCGTCTTGAGGTTGAAGCAGACCGTCTTGAAGTTGAAGCAGACCGTCTCTAGCCGTGGCAATGCGCGGAATGGAGACCCGAGGGACCGACCATCGGCCCCTGACCCGCATGTCTAGTCATGTGCTCGGTTGCAAGCGATACAATGTCCGAGTTCGAGACACACATGCTCTACATCGTACGGATTGGTATTAGGGATGATACGAGATTAATCTGACAGGGCGGATCAGGTCAGGCCGCATAGGCTTCGTGAACCTGGCTTTCGATCTCGGCGACCATGTTCTCGGTGGCCTTGTCGGGGAAGGGACTCATCTGTGCGTGGACCATGCCGCAAGTGCCGTCTTTGAAGTCGCACCACCCTGTGCGAGATCGAGTGCAGAAAGAGAGGGAAGCGTCAGGTGCGGTCCGCAAGACAGCAACAGCGGAATCGAGGCGAACTTACAGTAGCTGTTCTGCACGCCGCACCAGCTGATCGTCTTTTGATGTACAGCGAAAAGCAAGAGCGGAGAGAGGTTCGGCATTCGACTGAAGGTCAGCTCTACCCGCTCTGCGAGGATCACGAGATCGACAATCATTGAACACTTACATCGTCGCTGTGACCACGGGTAGGATGCTTTTCTGTAGACGTGGCAGACAAGGAATAAAGGAGATCAGATCAGCAGGTCGCGCGGCGCGATGCCCCGACTTGCGACGCAAGCGCAAGGACCACTCACCCTTCAGCCTGAGACCGCCGTAAGACCAGTTCTTCTTGATTCCGGGCGCCAGGCAACCTCGGAAGCCTTTGCTGATGACGGCAGGGATGACTTGGTCAAACTCGCGTTCGAGATCGTCGACCAGCTTTCCCGACAGTTGATCTTTCTTGAGCAGCTCGATGCTTTCGGGCTTGAGGATGGTGCCGCCAGTGATCGGATGCGTTCCTCCGTTAAGGAGAGCCACAAGGATCTTGGTGTACTCTGCACCGTTGGCAAAGAGGCCGGCGCCCGGATAGATGGCCTCCATCTTGTCCTCCTCCGGCAAGAGCAGCTGCATGAATGGGATCACCTCGCCGTTTTCGTTTCGCATATGGCTCCCGGCAAGACGGTCGAGGAGGCCAGCGGATCGAGGCTTGAAGGTGATCGCCTTGATGCCGAGCGGCTCAAATATGTTCTTGCGGTAGTACGACTCGAGGTCCATACCGGTGACGACCTCGACGGCCATACCGGCCCAATCGATGTTGAAGCCGTAGTTCCACTCTTCGCCCGGCTGCGAGGCGTAGGGGGTGAAGAGACTGGCTCGGGTCGAGTCGAGGTTGGCGGTGGGTGGCAGTCCTTTGCTCTGGAACCAGTCGGCAAGGTCCTGGTTGAAGAGTGCGCAGGCTTGGCCGGAGAGGATGGCGAGGCAGTCGTGGACGGTGGGGATCTTGTTGGGCTTGGATCCGTCCTTGAGCATCTTGAGTTGTCCAGCTTCGGGGAGGAACTTGTCGATGCTGTCGTTGAAGTCGAGCTGACCCCGCTCCCGAAGCTGCAGGCACGCGATTGCGATGAAAAGCTTGGAGCAGCTGGCGATCCAGAAGATGGTGTCTTTGGTCATGGGATCCTGCTTGTCGACCTCTTTGACGCCAGCATGTGCCCAGATGACATCCTTGCCGCTCTTGTCCGAGACGTAGGCGACGGCGCCAGGCACGTTGTTGGGGCCTTTACCGGCGGTGTAGGTGTCAAGTACCTTCTGCGCGTGCTTCTGCAGAGCTGCGGATCTGTCCGAGGTCGTTGTCATTTTGACGGCTTCCTAGCGGGCTTTGGAGAAGTTGGAGCTAGACTGGAGGAGGGAAATGGGGGCGAAGCTGGACTCGAGCAGCCGCGCTTCTATCTTTATCGTATGTGGTGCTGGGGGAGGGGTGCGTCGAATCCGTGCCTCGCGTCTTGCGATGCAGCGCGGTGGGCTCGTTCTGTAGGGGGGAGGCAGTCCGATGGGGCTCACTGCAGGCCTGCGGCAGGTCAACGGTGATGGAAGTGGCAGTTCTGCGGAGCTGCATGAGATGCAAGGATGCGATTCGCGGGGAAATCCTGGCCTTACAGATCGCCAACAAGAGGCCCAATGCAAGAGGCAGCATGACGAGAGTCCGACACCTTAAAAGGTCAGTGACAGGGCATGAAGCAGGACGAACGGGCGAGCGAGGTGGCAGACCCGAGATGTCGTAAAGCGGAAAACACGGTTGGTCTGATCTGCGTGGTCTGTGCGACCCCCGCAAGTAAAGCTGCATGCCCTCTTTGTCTCAGTCGAATAAAGTTCGGCAGCTGCGGAGATGCGATGAAGAGTGCGGGGAATCGCAAGGCGGAAGCCGACCGCGGATGGGGCGCGACACCGTCCAAGCCGCATCTCGGATGCTTCGAGCCGAGTCGGGCTTGCCAAGCGCGCGACGATCCCGAAGCAGCGGCGCTCTGTCAATAGAATGCCTGGCTGGCACCCAAAGGAGCCGAAGTCAGGGTCCACAGAACAAAATGACTCGTGCATCTCCTGTGCAAGCACCATCATCGGAATACGCGGCCATGGCGAAGGAAGTGCTCATCGTTGGCGGAGGCCTGAGTGGCCTCTACTTGGCACATAGGCTGAAGCAAAGCGATCCGAGCTATCGTGTCACCGTGCTCGAATCGCGACGCCGACTTGGTGGACGACTGGAATCGGCTCAAACGAGCGCTGGCGAGAGCGACGAGGTGGACGAGGTGGACGAGGTGGACGCGTTCGACCTGGGTGGATCATGGTTCTGGCCATCTTCTCAGCCTTTGGTGGATTCGCTATTGGCGGAGCTGGGGCTGGAGAGCTTTGCGCAGTACGAAGAGGGGGATTTGCTGATTGAGCGCAGTCAGACGAGGCAAGCGCAGCGACTGGATCCGAGAGGAGCCGGGATGGGGGATGCTAGAAGGCTGCGAGGCGGGATGCGATCGCTCGTTGAAGCGCTGGCGGATCGACTGGGTCGCAACAACGTTGTGCTTCGATGCAAGGTGACGGGTCTGCGTCTGGTGGATGGGAACGGTGCTGGTAAAAGGGTTCAAGCGACGTGTTCCGGCGGGCAATGCCTTGAAGCGGACCGCGTGGTGCTGGCGCTTCCTCCTCGCCTAGCCGCTTCGAACGGCATTGAATTTGGGCCACCGTTGCCAAAGGAGCTGAGTTCAAGCTGGGCAGCGACTGCGACCTGGATGGCGCCCCATGCAAAGTACGTCGCCGTTTACGACCGACCCTTTTGGCGGGAGCAGAAGCTGTCGGGTAACGCGCACAGCACCGCTGGACCTTTGGGCGAGATCCACGATGCGACCAACTACGACGGTGCGCTTGGCGCCCTGTTTGGTTTCTTCTCGATCCCGTCGAGTGCCCGGCAAGCGCAAAGTGAAGACGAGCTGAAGTCGGCGTGTCGATCGCAGCTGGCTCGACTCTTTGGCGAGCAGGCGATGTCTCCATGGGACGAGTGGATTCGAGACTGGTCATTGGAAGAAGACACGGCGACGGAGGCGGACCAGATTGTGACAATGCCAGTCGAGAGGGTGGGCGCGCTCAAGACCACGCCAGACGAAAACGAGTCGCAATGGCATGGATTGGTGCGGGGTGCGGGCAGCGAGTGGTCGCCAACGTTTCCCAGATACATTGCTGGCGCCATTGACGCTGCTGATCGGGCCATGACGGCTCTTCTTGCCGCCTAGTGGTGGCTAGTCTCGGCTGCCCATCAGACTTTGCATCGATAGCTGCATCGCAAGAGCTCAAGATTGATGCCGAACGTCTGTCAGAGGTCGAGATCTGCCTGAGCCAGCTGTCGGATCGCATTCCAAGGCCGCTGCAGCTGGGCTCGGTGAAAGAGCCGCGTGGGCGGTAAATAAATTCGACGCGCTGGCAGCGAGCCGTGCCTGGCTCCTCTCCTGTTGTGAAATGCCAAAACAAATTTCATTTTGAATGCCCGAGCAGCTGAAAACCCTCCGACATCCGAAGCCACAGCCAAAAAAGGCACGCGTGCATCCGCCAGCAGCTGCTGCTTTCTGCCGAGACCAACACACACACACACCGCGTCGAGATACAGTGGCCACAGGCGGGACCACGCGCTGCTACCGTCCACCACCATCCCCATCCGTCCAGCATCGCACGCTCTCCAAAGGTGTCGCTCGCTCCGGCACCGCCCATCGCCATTCCGACTCCACGCCATCTCAAGCGCCTGTCTCTCTGCTCGCCCACGCTGCCCTCCTTCCCGCCTCTGCGCGAGGGCCCCACCCACGACTTGTTCTCTCCGGCAGCCACATCCGACCCTGATCGCACACAGTCCTCGCCAGACAACTCCTGCCGTTCGGCCGTATCTGAATCGCCGCCCTCGTTCGAAAGGCGACCTTCGCACGGTCCGGACGGCCTCGCTTCCGCATTTTCGCACGACATCAAGCTCCAACGCGCAAAGAAGGCCGTCCATCATATGCGAACCTACTCCTCCCAGTCCACCGCCAGCTTCGCCTCACATGCATCAGCCTCGCGTCAACCATCGGCAGAGATCCTAGAGGAGGACGAGCCCACCTCGTCCAGCCCAACCGTACACAGGACCCGCGGCCATCCCACTACTCCCGCCGCCATGTCCACTTCCTCTGCACACAACTCGCCGCAGCATTCCCGCTTCGGATCCCGCTCCGATGCAGGCTCCATCTACAATGCAGAACGCAACATGTCCTCTTCCATGCTCTCCGCCGTCGATCCCGCCGACATGGACGAGATCGAGAACAGCGTGCGCCAATCCAAGACCATCGAGGACTTCACCAACATCATCACCGAGTTCCGCATGAACAGGCACACCCTCTACTCCGACTCCCTCGCTGGACAGTATCCTCCCGATACAGGCACAATCCCAATGAGTGCAAGCAGCCACAGCATCGACCAGCGCTCCGAAGTCGGAGAAACGCTCCGATGCACCTGCTGCTGCAGCAAGGACGATTGTCCACGCGCCCTACGCGCCCGTCAGGAGTGGCGCGACCTCGAGGCCGACCTTCGCCTCAGCGCCGAGATCGGACAGGCCTTGCTCCGCCGTCATGACGCCATGCAGTCGAAGCTGCAAAAGCAAGCGGAAGAATACATGCAGCAGCGCGACGGTCTCATGACCAGACTCACAAAGAGCTACAAGGAGACATCCGCACTCGAACGCGAGCTGGCACAGTCCAATCTTAACCTCGAAGCAGGCGACAGCAGCAATCGCGCCCTCCTGTGCGAGCTCGACGAAGCTCGCAAGCAACTCAACAAGCTCAAGGCCAACCACACACGTCTCAGTGGCGCCGAGGAAAAGGCCACGTCGCTTCAGCGAGAGCTCGACGATCTCAAGCAGGAACTCGCCGCCGAACGCAGACGCTCCCAGGCAGCAGAGGCCAGATCCAAAAAGCTCGAGCTCAAATCCTCTCAGCTCAAAGACGCGCTTGCCAGTGCTCGCAAGAGCGCAGCCATCGAGCCTCCGTCCGACGGTCGCGCGCTCATGGATCAAGCAGCGATCCAACTTGCCAAGGACCGACTTGCGCGCGCCTCACATCACCAGCGCATCTCGTCTCTCGACACCAATCCTGCAGCAGTCGGCGACGATGCAGAGCACTCGCAAGTTATTCAGACCTTGGTACGCGACAACGAAGCTCTCCGCGGCGACAATGAAAAGCTCAAGGCTCTTGTCGACGCCTCCAACGAAGAACTCGAGGTTCTTCGCAACTCGGTCACAAACGCCATGTCCCTTGTCGCCTCCCCCATACCGGACGCCGCCAACTTTGAAGAGAGCGCCTCTTCCTATCTCGACATCCACGCATCAGCAGCAAGCATTCCAAGTGGCCAACCCTCCACGTCGGCACATGCGACCGCCGTTGCGCCACGCGCTCCAGCACAACGCACCACCTCGCATGCCTCCTCGGCCGGCTCGTTCACCTTCCCTCCGATATCGCCAACAACATCGGAGCGGGTCGAAGCCTCCCTCTCGCGCAGCGCCTCGCTCGCGCTCACGGCAGACAGCAGCGCAGCGAGCCAGGCTGCGGAATCCATCGCCTTTGTGCCCAGCTCCCGATCGAGCGAAACCAGCCGCGATACAGAGAAGCAGACTGCCGACTTTCTCAGCTCGGATCCTAATCGCCGCGAGAATCGAACAGCGCAGCTCGGTAACCTCCTCGAGTACATCAATCGACTCTTTACGCGTCTATCCACTGCCGATGTTGACACTCTCACCCGACGCTTGCAACGCCAGAATCTCGCCGGCGACGCCGGTCATCTCGCTCGCACCACGGTGCACTCCATCCTACGTGACGTGGATGGTCTGCGCGATCACTTCCGCAAGCTCATCGAAGCCGAGGCAAGGAATCATGCGCGCGACGACAACTCGTCGCATTCCAGGGACTTTGCAAACGAGAGCCTGGTGGCGAGAAAGGAGTTCTTTGCTCTACTCAAGGCGTTCCGAGACATCCTGTGCGAGTTGGCCAAGCTCCGCCTCTGTGTCAACGACATTCATCTCAATCCGGGACAAGCAGCCAAACTGCTCCACGAACACCTCGGCGCAAACACTGCGGAGGACAGGTCGCTCATTCCGATCCCTTCGGCCGTCAATTGGCTCGGCAAAATGCTATTGGGCGGGCCGAGCGGTGCTCCTTCCACCCCGTCTTCCGGCGTTGCCAATCCAACAGGGTCTTCTGCTGCGCCGGATGCAGCGTCGTTGAGCGGCGCGAAAGCGGGCCGTCCGCTTACGGGACGCACGATCTCTGGCCATCTCGCGCCTCGAGCCTCGCCTGCCGTCGTCTCGTCCACACTGGCCGTCGAGGTCAAGGGCACCCACGCATCCGCCGCAGAGACGGCCCAGTCGCGCCTCTCCACCTCGCCAAACACGCCTGTGGGCGGTGGCTTGCGAGCAGGCCCACGTGCCCAACGTGGTCGATCGAACACGTCACTCACGCGCGTACAATCCCGCAACCTTTCTGGTCTGTTTGCAGGAAGCCTTGCGCCGTCCTATGCCAGCCTCGATGTAGCCAGGGGTGTGCCGTTGGACTCAGGAAACAGCCTTGCACCGACAGGCTCCGTGCGGCCGAGGGGCCATGCTGCCAAGTTGACAAAGCCTTGGCAGCGGCCGTTGTCAAGGATCGTTGACGACGACGAGATCAGCATTCACCGCGGCAGGGCGATACGGCAACAGGTGTTTGAAGACAGCGGCGATGAAGGATCGGACGACGAGATGAATGCAAGCAGCAATCTTCTCGAGCGCACCTTGCGACCTCGTGGACTGAGCGACAGCTCGATCCGCAGCACGTTTGTCGACATGGCCGACGGCATGGGCGGAGGACCCATTTCGCCAGCTGCAAATCGGATTCGGCCCTCTCCGATCTCGCGCATCATCACGCCAGCGACCCTTTCGCTTCACTCGACGCCGAGTGCTGCACCTGCGACGGTTTCCTCATCCAAGATCGAAGACGACGCAAGCGCTTCTCCGTCCGTCTCTTCGGAAAGGTCGGGCAGCTTGACGCCAGGAGGCGCTGGTCTCGCAAGCGGTGTCGCCAGCTCCATCCTGAGCAGGTCCGAAAAAGTGCTGTCGTTCTTCAGCGGCGGCGTCGTAGGCTCGGGCGTACCCATCCAGCCTGCTTCGGCGACGGTGAGCGCGGGTGGGCCGAGCTTGCGTCAAACCCCTTCGATCGCTGCGCTCAACCGAGCGGCGGCTCGCGGCGCAGCCTCGCACGACCTTTCCGTGTCTCCGCGCACCCCATCCGGATCGCCTGCAGCCGCAGCAGAGCCTCGTGCACAGGCCGGGCTCGGCCTTGGCCTGCCACCGCGCCCCGGTCTGGGTGGCGCCGGTAGCGGACGTGCTGGTTTCTGAAGACTCTTTGCGTCCTCTTGTACACTAGAATCAACTCGCTCACTCTGACTCGTCGGAAGCGAACCCAGCCGTGTGTGAAATTTGGCTTCTTGAATAGATTCGGCCGTTCCAACTCGGTAGATACGAGATCATGGACAAGGTCGCTGTCAGTGTCTTCTCCGCTAATGATTAGCAGGGCCGTCTGGCGGTGTGCGGTACGCGGCCCTGCAGTAACGGGAAAAATGTCGGAATTCGGCTCAGTGGTCGGTGTGGAGATTCATCACACTCAGACTCGTGCGCCAAGGCTCAGCAGGACGGGCTCGGTGTACAGTGCTCGGCAACAGAGTGCCCACGCGCATCGCGCTGCAGCAGCAATCTCGACCGCATCCTCAGCAACACTCCGTCGTTGGTGCTTCGCTCCTCATCGCACCATCATTACCCTCTTTAACCCCTTTCAACGTCCGCATTGTCGAACCCGAACCGCGTCACGGACTGAGCTGCAGGACTTCACTGCCGCAGACACTCGCTGCAACAGCGCCATATCCGGCCCGAAGGTCTCGACTCCGCCCTCCAGCTCCATCCAACTTGCCGCTCGGTAGACGGCGCGCACACCTCATCCAACCATCTCATAGCAACCATGTCGGGCCTCGAAAAGTCGTTGTTCCAGCTCAAATTCACCGCCAAGTCGCTGCAGCGCCAGGCGCGCAAGGCCACCAAGGATGAGACGGCGGAAAAGGCCAAGCTGAAGAAGGCGCTGGCGCAAGGCAATACGGAGGGCGCACGCATCTATGCATCCAACGCCATCCGCAAGAAGAACGAGTCGCTGAATCTGCTGCGACTCGGCAGCCGCATCGATGCTGTGGCTAGCCGCGTCGAGACGGCGGTGACGATGCGCCAGGTGTCGGGCAGCATGGCGTCGGTGGTGAAGGGCATGGACAAGGCGATGGAGAGCATGAACCTCGAGCGCATATCCATGGTCATGGACAAGTTCGAGACGCAGTTCGAGGACATGGACGTGCAGACGTCCTACATGGAAGGCACCATCGGCGCCACCACGGCGCAATCCATGCCGCAAGACCAGGTGGACCTGCTAATGCAGCAGGTCGCGGATGAAAACGGCATCGAGATCAACCACAAGCTCGGCGAGGGCGGCCTGCTGGAGGGCAAGGTGGCCGATCTGGCTCCCAAGGTACCGGACAGCAAGGTCAAGGACAAGGAAGACGATGCGCTTGCCGAGCGTCTGCGGGCTCTCCGTCCCGCCACCTAGCGTCCTCCCCCTTCTTCTTATTCTTCCTCTCCCGTGTAAATGCATGCGTCTTTCTGTCCATGCCGTGGTCTCGAACCTCGTCTCACTGTGCCGCGTTCTCTGCCGCGATGATGTGGCAAAGCGAACCGTCTGCTCTCGCTAGTTTTGCAGTGTGCTAAAGTACAATGAGAACGGATGGCATATGGCGAGCGTTGATCAGCGCGGGCCGTACGTCGATCTGGATTGAGGTGGAGGATAGGAAGGGTTGGGCGGTAGCGATGGAGGCGGTCCGCGCATGTTGGGAGGCGGACCTGACGGGAACATGTTGGATGGAGGCGCTCCGTAGCCGGGAGGTGGGCCTCTTGGTGGATATGCGCCATTGCCGCCTGGAGGAGCGTTTGCGCCGCCCATCATGTTGGGCGGAGGACGTGAGTAGGGGCCGCCCTGCGGAGGTGGCCGGTTATAATTTGGCGGGGGTCCTTGATCTCTCGAGGGCGCATTGTTTCCATTGTATCGGCTGTAGCCTCCCGGGCCGCTTCCATAGCCGCCTCTCGGTGGACCGGTACCGTTGCTGCCGCCTCCACCGCTTCCGCCCATCGACATGCGAGGTGGACCTTGAGATCCGAACGCTGTCGCGAGAGACGAGAGGGTAGAGGATCGTTCGGTCAGTAGAGCCGTTGGAACGCAGTTAAGTCCTACATGTAACTTACCTCTATCGGATGCCCCGCTGAGCGGTCCTGCGCCGAAAGTCATGAACGAGGACCCAGCGGGTTGCAAAAGATCTCTGGGCTTTTCGATACCACGCCGATCGTACTCGTGTGCCAAAGTGTCGATGACCTGCTGAATCTGTTCTGGGTCCAGGGTCTGGTAGTACTCGCGCACATTCTGCAGATGGTTGCGTCCGCTGTTGTGTGCCTTGCGCACCGACACCGAGTCGTGTGTCAGAAAGACGTCGCAGTAATCGCAATAGTGTTTCCCCATGCTTGGCCGTCTCGATCGTGGGCTAGCTCGTTGCGAGTGCGCGTGCGCGATGTGATGCAAGAGGAGGCGGAGCAGCGAGGAGCAAAGGTGCAGCTGTGACGAAGGGTGAGGAAGGAAGCCGTGAGCTCGCGGCACCGAAGTGCATTTCCGTACTTTCGAGGTCGATGGAACTTTAACACGATTTTGAATTTTCTGTTCGGCCATGGGCCTCCACCTAGACGCGCGCCTCCCTTGCACCCTGCAGCCACGGCACAGCGCGACTGTCTGACTGCGCATGCAGGCTCGAGTCGCTCGCATCCGCTGCGAAACCAACACGCTGCTGTCAGTCGGCTCAGCCGCTCGCTCAGTCACGAGCCCACGCAGGGCCAAGACCCTGGAGATAGCTGTCGTACTCGCATCGACTGCATCGCTCGACTGCATCGTCCCTTGCGACATCCTTCCTCCTCCTGGGCCCCATTCGCTTCTGCTCGCGACCGGATCAGAAGTCACAAGCGTTACTCACATCGCCACGCGAGGTCGCAAAACTCTGGCATGCTGTCCACCGCTTAAACTTTGGACCCAAGCGTCATCGGCCCAGCCGTCGTCCGCATCACTCCGCGTAGCCGCCATGCATCTTCCGCGACATACGATCGAGTCACATGCCGCTGCTCCTCTCTTCGAGCATGCAAGCTTCTGCTCCCCAGACATCCCCGTCTTCCGCGATCGGCCGCCAAAGGATCACGCATCGCCCAATGCTTCAGGTGGCTCGACTTCCGAGCTTGCCCAGCCGGCCGTCTTCGCCTGTGCCACCCTCAACGGCTTTCTCGTAGCCCAGTCCGATCCGCTCAAGCTTGCCGCCAACAGGTCCTGGTCCAGCGCACAGGGCGGCCTGTCTCATGCTGTGCCGGTCTCCCACTGCTCTCTCCTCTTGCTCGTCGGTGGTGGAAGAGTACCACGCTTCGCTCCGAACAAGGTCATCTTGTGGGACGAGGCAGCAGAGTATACCCCCTCGCAGCCCGATCCGGCCTCCCATCACGCCAACTCTGACGACGACGATGACGACCACTCCAGCTCCTTCCCCTCGAGGCGCGCATCCACCATCTTTTCGGCTGGTTCCGAGTTCGACGCATACGGCAGAGCTCCTTCAGCCGAATTCGAGAATGCTCAAACGCCAATCTCATCCGAACCATCATCAGCTTGCCCTCTCAGCACCGCCGACTCCACAGGGTCGTTGTCGGATCTCGATCATACCCAGCACCGCACCGGACCCGCTGCTGGCAGTCCATCCCGCTCTACTGCCGAACCTCGCTCTTCAGTCGATCAAAGCATGCTCGCGAGCTCTCTCGGCATCGGTCGGCTACAATCATCGTACCTTTCCGATAACACCGATCGTGACGCACAATCATCCGTGCGGTTCAGCCGCGACTCTCCCGATCTTGCTGCCTCGAGCCACTCACACGCCATCATGGCCAGCTCCGCAAATCTCGCAGACCCTTTCGCAGAGGACGAGGCGCTCCCACCTCACTTGTCGCCAGAGCGCAATGCCAGCCCCGACTCCTTCACTCCTGGATCCCACACCGGCCCTCGTGCTGATCCGTGCACGTCCGAGAGCGCTGCGTCGTCTCGCCAATTCAGGCCGGCTTCGGCTGCCCACCGAGACCGCGCAGACGGCCTCGGCCTCATCGACTCGGTCTCTAGTATGGCCACCACCGACACTCATGCAACTGCAAAACGTCCCCCTCGCGTCCTCCGTGGCCGCGAGGTTGCAGAACTCGAATTCAGCGAGGCCGTTCGAGGCGTCTATGCTACCACCATCCACACCACCAGACCACGCTCACACCGTCCCGCCGGTAAAGGCAAGGCCCGAGCCACATCAGGCGCAGCATCTTCCCTCGATCGAGAGGATGAACCTCGTTTCTGCGTCGTGCTTGTCGTCCTGCTTGCCACCAGAGCCATTGTCTTCGAGCTGTCGCCGCCGTCCACAGCGCCAATGCTCGGAGGCCGTCCCACTTCATCCGCGTGGAGTATATCGAAGCGAGCCGTCGCACAGACGCACAAGAACCCAAAGGGTCTCGGCTCGGTGGCGCCTTTGTACCTGCACACGCCTCCGGGCACGGTATCGCAACCCAGCGCTGTGGTTGCGCTGCCTGGACGCCAGAAGGGACATGTACAGCTCTTGCACATCCAGCTAGGCATAACGCACGTCGATCCATATCGGCCCGCCTCTGTCCCGGCACCACCTGTCGGCGCATCTACCATTATCGTGGCCCACGAGGCTTCCCTCGCTGCGCTTGCCTTGAGCCCAGATGGTCGGCTCCTCGCAACTGCCTCCTCCAAAGGCACTCTCATCCGCATCTGGTCTCACAATATTGGGCAAAAAGACGGCACAAGTTCGAGAAATAGTCGCGCTTCTCCGCACGAGCCAAAGTCAAGCGGACCAGGCAGGACCGGAGTCGGTGCCACACTAGCACGCGAGCTGCGTCGGGGCACCGATCCGGCTACCATCCTGAGCATCGCCTTTGCGCCTGACGCCTCGATCGTGGCTGCCGCAAGCGACAAGGGAACGATCCACATCTTCCTGCTTTCTCAGCCCGGATCCATGGCGTCGACCGACGATACAACCGAGCTGCCTAGATCGCAGGCATCTTCGACGTCTCGCGCCTCCAGCCTGGGTCGAGTTGCCGCTAATTATCTACCCGCCGGCCTCGGCAACCTTGCAGGCCAAATCCCGCCGTCGGTGCTGCCGCAGTACCTCAAGTCAGAGTGGAGCAGCGCCCAATTTCGCATTCCCCTCAAGACGTTTGGATCCGCTTCTCGCCACTCCTCGGCATCGGCACAAGGCGACGAATCCGGAATCTACGGCTCAAACACTCCAAGAAGCATCACGCTCGGTACCGAGAAGTCTACCGAAGGTGCTTGGGCGCAGATGCGTAGCCGCATCAGCGACATCCGCAAGGGTGAAGCCAGCGTGGACGAAAAGATGTTCTTGTGCTGGGTCGAGGAAGCAGCCTCATCGCCAGTCACAGTGACCAAAGGTAAAGCGTCAGCGCAACCCTCTTCCAGGTCCGAACATGCATCTCGGCCGCGTCCACTGCACACGTCAAAGGATTTTCACGATGGGTCCAAGCCCGAATCGCCGTACCGCTTTCACCTTGTCGTTCTAACGACCTCGGGCGGGTGGTACAAGCTCGCGATCCATCCACCCAAATCGAATGCCAGCGAGGACGCATCAGGCTCCACCGTCCTGGACATGTACCGCCGGGAGTCGAAGCGCGCAACTGACAAGCCCAAGCCGCTAGAATGCCAACTGCTCGAGTTCCGCCCCATGGTAGCGATGCTGGACGGATGGAGAGCATGATGCCCGCCACGAATCCTACTTTTAGTTTGGCCACGTCGATGATCATCGCAAACAACGTCTCTTGCATCATAAAATCATTTTAATCAGGTGCCAATGCGCGATCGAAGGAAAGGTGTCGGAACTCAGTTGACGCCGCCAAAGACCATGAGCTTCTGGATCATGTATTCGTCGATGCCGGTGCGACCGCCCTCGCGGCCGAAGCCGGACTCGTGCACGCCACCGAAGGGCACCGAGTTCTGGGAGATGAGGCCGGTGTTGATGCCCACCATGCCCACCTGGAGCTCCTCGGCGACACGCCAGCATCGAGCGGTGTCCTTGGAGAAGAAGTAGCCGGCGAGGCCGACGTCGACGTTGTTGGCCTTGCGCACCACCTCCTCCTCGCTCGAGAAGGTGTAGACGGCGGCGAGCGGGCCGAAGGTCTCCTCGCGATCGGTGGGGACGCTGTCGGGAAGGTCGGTGATGACGGTGGGCTCAAAGAAGAGGCCCTCGCCGCGCTTGCCGCCGACGACGACGCGCGCTCCGTTCTTGACCGACTCGTTGACGTGCTCCTCGACCTTGTTGAGGCCGACCTCGCTGACGAGCGGGCCGTGGGTGGTGCCCTCGTCCATGCCGTAGCCGACCTTGAAGTTTTCGACCTTGGCGGCGAGCTTCTTGAGGAATTCGTCCTTGATGCTGGCGTGGACGTAGATTCGGTTTGCGCAGATGCACGTCTGACCCGAGCCGCGGAACTTGCATGCGATGGCGCCCTCGACCGCCTTGTCGAGGTCGGCATCCTCAAAGACGATGAAGGGGGCATTGCCGCCGAGCTCCATGGAGAGCTTCTTGAGGGTGGAGGCGGATTGGCTCATGAGGATCTTGCCGACGCGGGTGGATCCGGTGAAGGAGATCTTGCGCACCGTGGGGTTCTCGCAGAGCTCCTTTCCGACGGCGATCTCGTTGTCGCCCTTGGCGCAGGTGACGACGTTGATGGTGCCCTTGGGGAAGCCGACCTGCTCGGCAAGGTGTGCAAAGGCGAGCGCCGAGAAGGGCGTCTCTGCGGGCGCCTTGATGACGACGGTGCATCCGGAAGCGAGTGCTGGTGCGGCCTTGCGAGTGATCATGGCGGCGGGGAAGTTCCACGGGGTGATGAGGCCGGCGACACCGACGGGCTGCATCTGCACGACGTTGCGGACGCCAGGCAGAGGCGAGGGGACGGTGTGGCCATAGGTGCGGGTGGCCTCTTCGGCGAACCACTCGAGGAAGCCGTTGGAGTAGGCGATCTCGCCCTTTGCCTCTGCAAATGCCTTGCCGTTTTCGGCGACGATGATCTTTGCGAGGTCGTCTGCGTTTTGCTGATGCGCGTAGTAGAGCTTCATGAGGAGATCGTGGCGGTGCTTTGCGGTGGTTTTGGACCAGGACTTGAAGGCTTGTTCGGCGGCGTCAATGGCGGCGGCGGTCTCCTTTGCGCCCATGTCGGGCACCTGGCCGATTTCGGCGCCAGTGGCCTTGTTGAAGACCTTGAGGGTGGCCTTGGATTCGGCGTCGGCCCATGCACCGTTGATGTAGGCCTTTGTCTGCCAGAGCGACTGGTTGGCGAGCTTGAGCTCCTCCTTGCCGCCCTTGACGATTCCCTGGGGCATGTGCGGCATGTTGAAAGGGGCGGTGGTGTGGATGGGACGCGAAGGATTGGGGAAACGTGGGGTGGTGCGCTTGGAGGCGAGAGAGATGCGCAAAGGGTTCAGCGAAGAGGACGATGCAGTTGCAGAGCGAAGGGCAGGTCGAGCGATGGAAGTGCGTGCAGAGCGAAGCATGCTACACGAGATAAGATGATGAGGGGGTCAGCGGAACCAGCCTGGCCGCAAGAGCTTGTGTATATATGGAGGCTTGACGTAGGGCCGCAAGGGTGGCAGGCCGGGCGCTCGACTGGTCTGAAGCCGAGCAAATGTGCGTGAGCGCGCGAGTGGTTCGGCCGCTGTTGGACAGACGACGAGCTGCAGGTGGAGCAGATTGCGCCTCGGGTTCCACGGGTTGCAGTGCTTCTGGCCCAACTGCTGCCCCACTCGCTCTGCTCACTCAGCTGCCGTACCGCCGCACAGACCGGGGAAAGTCGCGGCTAACGCGCCCATCGCGGCTACTAAATGTTTTTTGCCGAGTGTGAGGCCGCGATTACTGCACACCACGCAAGTCTGCGCGCCCCGCTCAGGGTTCATTTGTGCCTTCCGCACCAAAGACCCGCTCGCTTCCTTCCAGACACATCCATCATCCAACCTTTCGAGTTCACAGAGCATCATGGTGAGTGCACGCGTGCCCGGATGCGAGGATTTGCTATGGACGCTCCTTGCTGACTGCCTCGATTCTTGCTCTTGAACTCTAGCCTGCCTCTCTGACTGAGGCCAAGGATGCGCTGGTGCTGCGCCTCAAGTTCCACAAGTCTACGCTCTTCCTCCCGTGCCAGCCCGCCGACTCGCTGGCATCGCTCAAGGCCGGCTTCGTCTCAGCCGTCCGCTCCAGCAACCAGCCCGAGCTCTCGTCTCTGCCCCCGTACTCAACCGCCGACGCCAAGTCGTATCCGAGCTGGTCCGACATGGATCCCGACACCGACGTCGGTCTCTTCATCGCTAGCAGCACAGGCAACGATGCGGCAGGCCTCGAGGGCATGACCGTCTTCATGCCGCTCGAACACGACGCAACCGGCGCAGACACCACCGTACGCAAGGCCGGTCTCAAGGACTCGGACGCCGTGTGCGTCGGCTTTCGTGCTCAAGGCGCAGCCTCCATCTCCCAGCCCGTCGTTCAATTTACCGATGTAGAGGAGGACGACGAGGCCGCCGACCCAGACTCTGTCCCGCCACCCCTCTCAGAATGAAGCCCAGTTGCAATCTGCATACAAAAGGGCCCGAGGCCAGCATGAGAATGCAAGCGACCGCCGCGAAATGAGAGTACGAGGTTCACACTTTTTCATCGCGTCTACTTCCTCTGTTCTGCTGCCTAGTCACGCTAGTGCTCAGCGAGTAAGCTCTCCGCCACCTGCTGCTGGGAAGCAAAGGTGGAAATGGCCGGGCCGCGAGAGGGAGCCGCTCATGGGATCAGCAGCATGGATTCCTCCTCCATGCCCAAAACCGGCGGACGGCGCATGTGGAGGAAGCCAACCCATCTGGGATTTTCAGGCGCTTTTTTGCCGAGCAATTAAGTATTGAAATGCGAAGTCCTGCCAACACCAGAGAGAAGCCAGGAGTTACTCGCTCGCCTTTGCCGTTCTTCCAAACCGCAAGACCGTCTGCCACCATCTCCACACCGTTCTCGATTCGTCCGCAGACCACACTTTTGCCTCACAACCACTCTCCCAGCTTCCACGATGCAGCGCCTCGGCAGAGGCCAAGCTCTGGTCGCACCAAAGCGCTGGGCACAGAAGCTCCATCATGTCCACCAAGCACACGAAGCTGTCTCATGTCTGACCATCCCCTTGTCACTCGGTTTCCACCAATCTCGATCGGCCCTGACGCGCACAAGAAGCCAACGACGCACAAGTGGACGCACCTTTACATCGTCCGCTTTGCGGACAGGCATTCCGGTGTCCGAGTCGAATCCTCGCCTCGTCCCACAAAGCCCCGTCTCGCGAAGAAAGTTCCCTCCGCCGTCCTTTCCGCCTTCCTTTGGCTCCAACCAGATCTTGCCCGTACCACAAGACACAGACAGGCGTCTCCACAACATCCTGGCATGCTTCGACACCCCAGTACGCTTCGCCTTTGCCTATGGCTCCGGTGTATTCTCCCAGAAGGAAGCAGGCCCGGAGCACTCCAAGAGACCCGCCACCAAGGACGGAAAGAAGATGGTCGACTTCATCATGGCCGTCACGCACCCACAGCACTGGCATTCGCTCAACATGGCGCAGCATCCAAAACACTACTCGATGTTCAGCAGGCTCCTGGGCGGCCTCGGCATCGGCCTAATTCAACCCGTCGGCGCCAAAATCTGGTACAATCCATACATCACGCTCGAAGACGAACTGGTAAAGTACGGCGTCATCAGCGTCGATGATCTTTGCACCGATCTGCTCGACTGGGAGACCCTCTATGTCAGTGGTCGGATGCACAAGCCGGTGGCGCTCGTCACCTCGGACGCCCGTGTGCGTCTGGCCCAGCAAGTCAACCTTGCCTCGGCCTTGCGCACCGCCCTCCTTCTCTTGCCCGCCCAGTTCTCCGAGGTAGAGCTGTATACGCGCATCGCATCGCTCAGCTACACCGGCGACTTCCGCATGTCGGTGCCTGGCGGAGAAAACTCGAACAAGGTGCGCAACATCGTGCTCAACCAGCGCCAAGAGTTCCGACACCTCTACGCCGGCCTCATGCGCAACTTGGGCACTCTCTCGGTCGAAGAGGTCGGACAAAATCGCTACAGCATCCATCAGGATGACTCGATTGCCACTCGCGCCTCGTATGCAGCGCGTCTTCCACGATGCCTGCGCCAAAAGATACAAGACTACTACACAGCACGACCGGACCTCGATCCAGCCTTCCTCAAACTGTCTTTATCCAAGACCCTCGACACTGTCCCGCGCGAACCATCTCGCATCGAGAGAGAAGAGACGCTCAACCAGTTCTGGCGCGCCGTCGTCCAGCGAAAGGACTTTGACCAGGTGCTGCTTCAGATGATCGCCAAGACCGTCAAAGGTCCCGCTTGGTCACAGTCAATCAAAGGCATCTACACCGCCGGCTTCACCAGGACCTTCCGATACGTCGCCGCAAAGATCGGCAAGTACTTCGAAGGCAAAAAGGAGGCCGAAGGTCGTTGAGCACAGATGCTCAGCGGTCTGCTCTGGAATTGCGCCCTTCAGAACTGTTCTCCAGATTCACAGAAGCCGAAGAATGCGTGCAATGCAAAGGTCAGACCAATGACTAAAAGGCGCCCAGCTGCGGTCGAACCATTGTTTCTGATGCGCGGATGGGGTCGTCAAGATTGTTCGTTGCTGTGTTGAGTGACGAAGCTTGCGGGCCGGGCAAGGAGGAAGCCGAGGAAGCCCGTCCGTCCATGGACGGAGGTGCGGGAACGCTGAAAGGGTTGAGGGCCCAACGCGTGCGGAAGCGGACGATTCCGCAGATGGACAGGTTCGACATGCGGGATGTCCATGCGGGAGGTGAGCCACCCGCAATCCTTCCCGACCTCCGTTCACAGGTCTGCATACAACCTCGGCAAGGATGCTCTGGCTGATGGTGTGCGGTATGCACCTGCGGTCTCGGGAAGACTGGCATCTGGTGAACTCATGGTTCCCGTTGCACTACATCCACGCCTCTAACATGGCCACAGCTTTTGTCGCGACCGAGGACAAGACGGAAGTGCTGACCGTCGTCATGCAGGCACAGCTGCTGCTCGGGTACGTCGTGTGGGTCTCCGAGGCCGAGTTTGGGCGCGCGCTCGAAATGTGCGCCAATGCTGCTCCACCACCTCCGACCAATGCTTTTGTAATCACGGCTCACGACTGGAAAGCCTTCATTGGCAGACAGATCGAAGGCGACGTCGCGCGACGCTCAATCCTCCCCCAGGGCTCCGAAGCTTCTGTCGACGATAGAGAAAGTAACGAGGGTGTGGATGCAGAGTCGGATTTCGATCCCGGTGCGGACTTTGAGTCAGACTCAGGCTCGGATGACTCGGACGACTCGGACAATGGCTCGGACGACGATGACGACGACGATGGCGACACGCAGCCCGACGGGGAGGAGGTATATGGTTTCGACGGGGTAGACCTTGATGACCTGGATGGCATTAAGCAGGTGCAACCAGGCACAGTCGTATTGGCTCTCGTGGAAAGCGCGAGCCTCTATCTCTTCGACCGACTGGGCATTCCTTCAAGCTCGAGCGCAGGCTTCCTGCTTTAGGAGACGTGCCAGATAGCGGAACTCAACTTGCGGAAGTGCGGAAAGTCTCTCATCGCCGACGATCGCATCCAGCACGAACGCGCCGCTGCCAACACCGAATGGCGAGCTCTCGCTGCCAACGATCGCGTTCACACCCACAAGCGTCTCTTCCTCGCATGCTTCATCCAAGCTGCCCAACAGCTGTCCGGTATC